CACTCTTTCTTCACAGATTGCTATTTCCCTTCTGCTTGCAAAAAACCATTTGCTCTGAACAAGCTGCCCCAGTGTATAAAGTATTCCAGGAAGAGCTGAGGACCTGCTGCTTCTTGGTGTTTGTTTCTTTCATGTCAACACCAAAGACTGAAATCACAGAGGCTTGAAAAATTGCTTCCAAAGGGCTCTATTGCTTCTCTCTGACATGTAAAGCAAGATCTGTCCTCTCACACATCTTTAATATCCTGTGTGGCTGCTCAGCTGAGGAAGTGTCTTCATCAGAGCTCAGGTTCCAAACCTAGAATCAATATCCCAACACCTGAGTTAGGTATCCAGTTAGCTTCTCCCGAACCTCATTAAACACATGGCAATTTCTTTGTGAACGCCAGCAAACTTGGGTCTAACCCCAAATTTCCCTTTACAAGGAGGTGCAAAGATGTTTGGGGTGGTTTGTTGTTTTTCTATCTCCAAGAATTCCCCAAATTAACCAGATAAGGTTTGGAAAGCATGAAAAAAACAAATGCAAGTGTGTATTTTGCAACAGTGTTGCAACATAAATCATGTCCAGAAGCTACCTATCCTGGAACTGTCATAAGAGGAGATGGATGGGATGGGAGTTAAAGCAGTCAGACTGGTCTGGTGTGGGCTGTGGGTTCTTTGGAAGTAACTTCTGGTTTAAGTCTTAGTGCCAGTCTGTGTGTGTTGTGCACACATCCTGCTCCCAGACCAGCTCTCCCTTCACCCACAGTGCCACTTGCTCCTATGATTTAAATTCCTCATCCTACATCATTATCTCTTCCAGGGTGTTTCCAGAACGTGCCCTGAAATTTCTGAGAAAGATGACTGAAGTCAAGTTTGATGCAGTCATTGGGCAGAGAAGCACCCAGTGAAAAGTGGAGATGGATTCTCCCTTCCCAGTGGCACGAGTGAAAACAGAAGCTGGCTGAGCACAGCCCAGCTGGTTGGATCCAGAGCAGAACTGAGGCCACCACTTCCTAAGGGTTTATCCCACACCTGCAGCAGGGACCTGCCTGCAGCACAAGGAGAGCTCACCCAGCAGAAATGCATCTCCAGAGCCTGAAGGGCTGGACGTCCATCACCTCCATCTTCTAGTGCTGAGGCAACAGGAATTTCCAACAAGCCCCTCTGTGGCCCAGCACAGCTGCCTCCCCAAGGGGAGAAAGGGATTGCCTGGGAACCCCCTCATCCCTGAGCAATGGGCAGAGGAGGTGGGTGGCCTGTTGCACCTCAGTTCCTGTTTCTGAATGCAGAATGCTCTATTGACCACACCCATTGCCCTGTGCTGTTGTGGGAACCTGAAATGATACAGGCTTGTATGTCATGGAATTCCTAGTGACATCAATTATGCAATAGCTCTATCACCGTGCCTTATTCCCAATAAACACAATTCTTTAACACAAAGCTGTGAAACTTGGCACTGAAAGTCATAACCAGCTCCTAGAGGTGCATTTAAGATATGGTATCAAGCCATATACCCTTTCCCTGTATAATTTCTCACTCTCCCTGTTCATCCGTAATTTCCAGGCACCTTTAAAACACCTTCCTGTGAGAACAATGTAATGTTTCTCTGCCAGTTCCTGGGTGCCCTCCTGCACTTCGTGCATGCTAGAAAATGTGATTTGTGCCATGAGAATGCAGAACAAGTTGGGCCAACCTAATGAAAATTGTGCATTCTGTCTGGTTGAGTCTCCATGAGTCAGATTTGGGTATCAAAGATAAGAGCAGGGTTGTGCTGGTCCAGGGGAGTGAGTTGAAGTTCATAGGGCTTCTGCACCTGTGTACAATGCAGGAGAAGGACTGAACACCTGGAAAATCCTGAATGTAGCTTCATTTTGATTAGTTAACACATTCATCACAGCACAAAGTTACACCAATGCAGACACTGGATCATATGTGTGCCTCCACATACTCTTTTCTTTCCATCTCTTGTAACATGCACCATGCTGAGGGTTTATCCTCCCTGACTGGAGAAGATGCCGCAGCAACAACATCCCTGCCTGATCCTGTGCTTTACCTTCCCAGCCCTGCTTTTCCTCTCCGACGTGCAGGGGAGCAGCAGAGGAGGGATTCTTGGGCGAAGGAGACACAGCAGGTGCCATGGGGGAGAACAAGGGGTGTTGCCCAACTGGTTCCCACACAAGGGCAGCAGAGCAGGTGCCCCAGGGGTGACAGGCTCAAGCAGAGCCTGCCAAGCACCAGCCCAGGCTGCAGGGCCCAGCCAGGTCCCCACTCACCCCAGGAAGCCACCTCAGGCTCCCACAGGCCAAGGCTGAGCTGCAGGTGCCAGCCCAGGGGCAGCACGGGGGGAGGCTGCAGATCAGGCTGCTCACAGCCCCTCACCCCAAGCTGGCTCTGGCAGGATCCAATGTGACCAGGAGGTGAAAGCCCTCAGGTCTTTGTCCTGGGGTGCAGGGGAACAGCACCTGATGACACAGGGGACACAGACCTCTGGGAGCACAGGTTCTCTTTCCACACACTTGTGCAACTCCCAGCTGCACCAGCACTTGCTGGCTCACGGCCCCCAGAGGGAGGAGGCCTTTCTGAGCTCCATATTCAGGTCTTTCTAAGAGGACATGCCTGACACAACTGAGAGGCACTTGCTCTTCTCAAGCTGTCCCAGCCACAGCTCTGCCTGGAGCCTGTGCCAGGGAAGTGACAGCACTGCTGAGCTGAGCAATGGGGGCCTGGCCCAAAGGGTGATGTGTTCATTAGGAACAGCAGGGAGCTCCAAGAGGAAAGTAGGAAGTGCCTGGCTCTGAACCCCTGCTGGAGTCAGCCCAGTCTCCCGCAGACACCACCAGCACCCCAGCAGCTGAAGCCCTGGGACATTGGCTCCAGGTCTGTGTGGCTCTTTCCCCAGCACTCGCAGTCATTCCCCTTTCAGAAAGCCCAGGATTGTGAGGCCCTCACAGCTATCTCAAGCACCAGGTGTATACACGCTCCCTGAGCTGCTGCAGCCAGAGGTGGGCGTCACTGCTGTGACTGCCCTGCCAGCTGAGAGAGGCTCTGCTCCCCAGTGCACCAGGGATCAAGTAGAACTATTTGTCTCACAAACCCTACAACTGTGTTTCTAAGCCAAGCTCCACGCTCATGCCCTCTCTTCCATCCATCCATTCTGCTGCTTCCTGCCATAGCTTTAGTCCATAGAAGTACTGGCATTGTGTGGGGGCAGCAAGGCCCACAGGGACAGAGCTGCTGAGCAGGCAGCACGGGTGAAACCATCTGCTTTGCAAGAGGAGTGGACGTTTATGGACACAGAAGCCTTTTGACAACACCATCCAGTTGAACACCAGATGAAAGCTGCGATGGTTTCCCTTTGTCCAGCATGCAGACACATCCAGCTGGGCTGAAATTTGTGAGGCTCATTATCAGAGGAAAGAACAACATTTAACAACAATATTTAATGACAATATAGAACATTCATAATTACTGCCTTCATCGCAATAGGTCAAATTGTCAAAAGTTTTCAAAGCAGCTTCTGCTTATCTTGGCCACATCCAGTCTTACTGGATTTCTAATGCCAGGCAATAAAGCTCCCCAGAGCACAGCAGCCTGATATGTCACTTTAGCAAAGAGTGCTTCTTCAGAGACTGGCTCTCCTGCATTTTTTTCAAAGTCCTTGAATCCTACTCAGAATGTTCGGAGATCCATCCCAAATAGCAGTTCTTGCCACAGACCAAAGCCACCCCAAGCCATGGCTGTACCTCTCACTGGAACTGGCTGCCAGCACCCAGGCCCCAACCTCAAGACCGGGGCAACACTCACAATACTGTAAGCTTTCCAAGTCATGCCAGTATGCATCAAAATCATGTGCCATTTGAAGCAGCATTTCAGAACACTGATTTGTAAACACACAGAACTTGCTCAACCCAGCAGGTTCAACCCAAGGGTGTTTTTGTTTTGTTTTTCTGCTGCTTCTCTGCAGTTCAGCATCCGAGATCACGAGCTGTTCAGTGTTGCAAAACCATTCTGAAACACATTTTTAGTACCCTAAACCTTTCAGATTCTTTCCTTCTGCATCTGCTCTCTGGCCATTTATTTTGCTCTTTTCCCAGCAGGTCTCCCGCTTTCCATACCAAGGCTAGAACTTGCCAGTTTCACTGCCAAACCTCTACTAGAAAACAAATAAACTTGCTTTTATCCAACAAACCAGGTGTTACTATGAGTAAACATCTTCTCCTGCAAACTATTTCCCCTCTGCGTTCTCAGCCTTTTCACATCCCCAGCTGGTAGCTGATGATCCTCCAAAACATCACAATCAAGATGCTTTTCCATGAAACATCCTGGTTGAACAGATGCCGCAACACTTTTTGCTCAAAAATAATCTAGTTACAAGATTTTTTATATAAATATCTTTCTGACACTCATGCTCACTAGTACCTACCAGCTTGCTGATCTCTTATGGGGAAAAAAAAAAACCAAACCCAAACACTGAGCAGGAATTTGCATTAATCTCTTGATGACCATAGAGGTTTGATGATGAAATGCTGCTGCTTTCTTTTGTAGAGCTGACCTGGAATATAACAGTTCTTGGAGCCTTATAGGACTGACATCTGCAAACTAAAAAAAAAAAAAGGTCCTGAAAACCTGAGGATCATGTAATAACTGGGTTTATTATTATGCAGAGGCAGGGGCCTGTATTTACTCTCATCTAGTGGTTTCTGTCTAGTTACACTGAAATTATCCTGGCAAAAGACAAGATTCAAGTCTCTCTGGTACAGAGCTCTGTTCTCAAAGCCCTTCAAGTGTGCAGTTAACACCAGTTCAGCCTCAAAGTGTTATCTTTCCAGTTAAACACTTCTTTTATGTGACACACTTCCACTTCCATCCTCCTCTCTCTCTCTCTGACATAAAATGGTATTGAGATCCATTTCAAACACAAGCACAGGTCCAAGAGGACTGTTCTGGGAGGAGACTGCACCAGGATTTCCAGCAAAGGAATATGGGAAAAGACTAAACCAAACAACAACAAAAAACAACCAACCTACACAAAACCCCACAACATTTTATATTAATGGGTTATTTAGGTCACTCAGAGCTACGTGTCAATTACTGTGAATGTAATGAATACTTTAATCCAAAAAAATAAAAGTGTGAAACACTTTTAGGAAGACAAATTGAGCCAAGTTTCATTTTACAGGAGAAAAACAAATGCAAAACCTTTTTATTTTTTTCTCCCCTTAAATTTAAAGAGACAAAAGGTGGAATTTATACTGTTCTGGTATGGAAAAGAAAACCTTTGCTCTGGGATATGACCATGCAAATCCTGCCTCACAAAGGCACTTTATACATACAGGCCAGTGGTTATGTGGCAGATCTCTGGCCAAGGAAGCTCTGCTTGGGCCACACAGCTGACATCAGCCACGGGACACAAGAGGATCCTGGTGTGCCATTTTTAAATGAAAAAATTGGAGAACTGATTCTCATTTTAGGAAGATTTTAAAAGAGTACAAGTGCAGTAAGAATATGCTACTGAGCACGAGCTAAACTTTCTTCCTCCTCCCAAGGAACTGAAGTGCAAACCAGATCTGTCATTAGCACACTAATTAACAGAGATATAGTTACAGCTAACTCAGCTACGTTGCTCCTGAGATTCAAGTGAGCATCTCTGCACAGGACTGTGGAGACACTTTGTCAAGGATACTCCTTTTCTATCTCTTAATGGTAATGGATGCAACTGCAGGAATGAGTGGCTGAGAAACATTTAAAAAAGTAACATTTTGTGAATGTGCTTCACAATCACTGTTCATAAATTTTCTAGATCAAGAATTCTTGACTCAGAAGATTTGTTTGTCCCTAATCCATCCAGTTAATCAGCAACCAATTCAGGGACTGGAGTGGCTGTAGCTCCTGTTCCCCTCCAGCAGCA